TATATCGCGGGTTTCATGGTATCGCGGTATTCCAAAAAATCAGATACATAGCTCATATGCTTTTTGTTGAAAAAAAATATCAGTCTGTCATCTGAATGTAAATTTTTGTGATGATTAAAAAGTATGGAAAATGCGTCGGAAAAAAAAATTATTCAAATAAAACGTAATTTTACAGAAATCTATCTCCGTTTTTATTATTTTTAGCCCACTGAGTTTATAATCTAGTAAAATCCATATAAAGTTCATGTTTTGAAAGTCTTTAGTTTGTATACTTGTTTATTTTCTTATGTTAAATTACCTGGTAAAATAAAAAATAAGAATTGAAGTCCATGTCAACCTCAAGTTTCCATGTTTTCCCATACCGCGATACTATGAGACTCTCCGATTTGGGAGGTAAATAAGACTTCCTGTTTTAAAAATAGACCACAACTTAGACGATGCAAGCTTGGGAAATAGTTTGATACTAAAAAGTTAGGCCATAGTATACACCTATTTACTTGCTATGAGGACAGTAGCAAGTTTATCGTTCCCCAAGACAGCAAACTATTTCCCGAGGCGCAGCCGAGGGAAATAGTTTGCTGTCGAGGGGGACGATAAACTTGCTATTGTCTGAATAGTCAGTAAATAGGTGTTTTATTATACCGATGCTGACTTAACTTTTGTTAACTTTTGGGAGTCCAGGGTACACACAATTATGATATTCCATATTATTATATGATTGAATAGTTTTCATCTCTCTGATTGGCTGAGATCCAACTATGTTAGAAAAATACTACGTTGTATTGACCTGCACGTGACGTTCCAGGTCAATACAAGGATTTATTTCCTTGACATTGATCTAAAAATAGATCGGGATATTCCAAATTGATACAAATTGAATTTGGAAAGCTATTTAAACTACTATAACTTTTTTTCATGTGAAGATAAGTTAAGCGAATATATATTTTCGGGTGAGGGTGATAAGAGGGGATGCATGGACACTCCTCCAACACTTTTACTGAAAAACAATTTTTACTTTTTGGCAGTCAGTTTTCCCTGATAATACTCCTTCCTTTAAAACTCTATACTAGAAAAAAGACTGACATAATTTTTTTTCATGGCAACTAAAATTGATTTTAAAAAAAACTTAACAAAAAAATAAATACGACCTGTAAGGTTTATTAACATTTTAATTCTGCTTCTCTCTTAATTGTATTTGGATAGGACTTAATCAAATGCAAACAAGTAATGGGTTTTATCATTTTATTAGTGAATCATATAATAAAACAATTATTGCTGTTTTTTTCGGTCAATACAATGATTTAGCCATCTTCGAAGTACCATATTCACCTCGCCCTCCGGGCTCGGTGAATATTGTACTCCTCAGATGGCTAAATCATTGTATTGACCTCAAAACACAGCAATAATTGTATATTATAACGATGCTGACTTAACTTTTGTGACGTCATAACATATACGCGTCACAATCCGTATAAAACCAGAAGTTTTCCGAGATGAAAAGCGAGGGAAACAGAATGCTGCCGGTGAATAGTTTGATGACTATTTCACCATGGGCAGATAGCACAACAAGAGGCCCATGGGCCACATCGCTCACCTGAGAAGCTTTGACCATTCTGTTCTTTACCAGATTTCACCCTTGTTATACATAATGCATCCCCACCCTACCCCCACTGATCATAATTTAGACATTTTGAAATCTACACTACCCCATGATCCTTCCATGGGCACATATGTTTCAGCTTTTTTGGCCCAGTGGTTCCTGAGAAGAAGATTTTCAAAGATTTTTCCTATATATTTCTATGTAAAACTTTGATTCCCTATAATGGCCCTGCCCTTCCCCCGGGGGTCATGATTCCTACAATTTAGAATTTACACTACCCCAGAATGCTTCCACATAAGCTTCACTTTTTCTGGCCCAGTGGTTCTTGAGAAGAAAATTTTCAAAGATTTTTCCTATATATTTCTATATAAAACTTTGATTCCCCATTGTGGCCCCGCCCTTCCCCCGGGTGTCATTATTTGAACAATTTAGAATCTACATTATACCAGGATGCTTCCATATAAGTTTCAGCTTTTCTGGCCCAGTGGTTCTTGAGAAGAAGATTTTCAAAGATTTTTTCCTATATATTTCTATGTAAAACTTTGATACCCTATTGTGGCCCCGCCCTTCCCCTAGGGGTCATGATTCGAACAATTTAGAATCTACACTATATCAGGATGCTTCCACATAAGTTTCAGCTTTTCTGGCCCAGTGGTTCTTGAGAAGAAGATTTTCAAAGATTTTTGCTATATATTTCTATATAAAACTTTGATTCCCCATTGTGGCCCCGCCCATCCCCCGGGGGTGATGATTTGAACAATTTAGAATCTACATTATACCAGGATGCTTCCACATAAGTTTCAGCTTTTCTGGCCCAGTGGTTCTTGAGAAGAAAATTTTCAAAGATTTTTCCTATATATTTCTATGTTAAACTTTGATTCCCCATTGTGGCCCCGCCCTTCCCCCGGGTGTCATTATTTGAACAATTTAGAATCTACACTACCCTAGGATGCTTCCACATAAGTTTCAGCTTTACTGGCCCAGTGGTTCTTGAGAAGAAGATTTTCAAAGATTTTTCCTATATATTTCTATATAAAACTTTGATTCCCCATTGTGGCCCCGCCCTTCCCCCGGGGGTCATGATTTGAACAATTTAGAATCTACACTACCCCAGGATGCTTCCACATAAGTTTCAGCTTTACTGGCCCAGTGGTTCTTGAGAAGAAGATTTTTTAATGACCCCACCCTATTTTTGTCTTTTCTTGATTATCTCCCCTTGCGAGGGGATATGTCCCTTCAGTTTAGCAATTTAAATTCCCCTTTACCCAAGGATGCTTTGTACCAAGTTTGGTCAAAATTGGCCCAGTGGTTCTTGAGAAGAAGTCGAAAATGTGAAAAGTTTACAGACGGACAGACAGACAGACGGACAGACGGACAGACGGACGGACGGACAGACAGACGGACGGACGACGGACAAAATGTGATCAGAAAAGCTCACTTGAGCCTTCGGCTCAGGTGAGCTAAAAACTATTTCACAGTAGGGGCTGTTTGGAAAAGATAGCATGTTTATTCGTCATGTTTTTATATAGAACAAATTCACAGAGGTATAATAATTTGCTTTATTAATATCATTTGATGAAAGTTAAATTTAAAAAATCAAATTACACTTTTTTACGCAAAAGATTTAAGTACCGCGATAATGAGACACCTGTATATGTTTTTTTTCTGAACCATTTCGTCAGTTGAGAGAGAGAGAGGGGAGGAGATAGATAGATAGATAGATAGATAGATAGATAGATAGATAGATAGATAGATAGATAGATAGATAGATAGATAGATAGAACAAGAGAGAGAGAGAGAGAGAGAGATTGTTTAAATGGTCCGTCAGTATCCAGAATTTTATCAACTTATTACACAATAGGCCTATTTTGACCCCTCCCCTGACCACAGTAGTACACATTTCCTGACGTCAGTTCCCCCTAAATATGACGTCACATGCTTATGGGTTAATCTTTATCCAAAAGTCCCGCTAAATCGGAAGAAGTTCAGGCCAGTGACGTATAACAAGAGTCCCCTTGTTATACGTCACTGTTCAGGCTGAAAGAAGGTGATACCGCCTAGGAAACAAGTGGTAAATAGTTTTCTTTAATTTAAAAATACAAATAATATTACTGGGCCATAAATAATTCATGAATTCTGCATTTTATACTTTGAATGAAAAGTGCAACTTTTCTAAAATAGTATTGCAATAATCATATTTACTTCTCATTTTTGTCTAACCAAAAGACAATTGACTAGTAATGTAGAATTCTTTGCATGACTTCGTTTTGATAGTTTTAAGTCTAAGCATTACAGTGATATCACCCATTGAAGACAAAATCGAAATTCTAATTTACCAGGTATTAAGAAACTGATCATAGTAATTTAAGGTTAACACGTTATACATTGCAAAATAAAATGTTTTCATAAATTATTTTCAATGATAAGACCGTACATGTATGTGTACATACATGCACATGTACAGTCATAGATTCATAGATTCTCAATATTGTAAACTTTTAAGAATAATCGATATATGGAGACCACATGCCTTTCTCTAAGTGTACATGTACATATAACTGTAATGTAGATTATAAACATTTAGTCTAACAAATTTGAAAAGTTTTCTTTTTTCTTTGACAACTATTAAGGGAATTTCTTGTGTTAATCTAACTGAAGAAAGAAAATGAGAGGAAAGGGGGGGGGGGCTTAAGATTCAAAGCTAAGCGGCATCAAAGCTCGTATATCTTCCTTCATTTGCTTCTTTTAGTGGGTGTTTTGGACGATTTGTTACTACTACCGGTAAAATAAACTTTCAAAACAAAACACACTTTTACTTATATACAATCCATGAACACCAGTTTTCCTGAATATACTTTGAAACACATTTTTAGAAAGCAAAAAATTTTTGATATTCCATGAAACCCAATAAAGGAGTAGGCGGAGTAATACCATAATGTTTTGCAAGGAGTGGGCGGAGTTAATGTAGAAACTTTCATTCATTAGTTCATTGGTATTTTTTTTTAAAATATTTACATCCGATTTCTCACAGTTAAATAAAGCAATTAAGATATTTAATTCTATAATAATACTTATTTCTATTATGTTCCTACTTAGTTCTCCTGCAAATAAAACGACTGAGGTGTTTTAGTTAAAAACAGGCAAAAACAATTAATCTACGATCATTTAGAAGTGAAATATGTCATTTATTAATCTAAATGGCAGAAATAAACACATTTAACAAATTGGGGGGGGGGCAGAAAAAGGGGACTCAAATATAATGTTTAACACATTTTAGGCAAAATATTGCACAATCAGATCTGATCCTGCAAGCACCATTAATGACATTGTTACTTGATGTACATAGAAAAAAGGGGGTGGGGTCAACCAGACTAGAATCTTTTTATACATTTTACAATTTTTTTTTAGATAAAGATGGCCACTTATGATTCAGAATCAGATGTTGTATCTGATAACGGTAAGTATCAAAATAAATATTTCTCTTTTTTTTTTTAGGTTTATCTTACCTGCGTTGTTGGTTAAAGTGAACTTTTCTGTCTAATCACCCGTTGTTTGAATGTGTGTCTGTCTATCCGTAAATGACTTCCTGTCATCCAATGATACTGTACTAACTATGAATTGATGTAAAGGATTATTTATAGAAATACGTGTATAACTCCACCTTTCAATCCAAAATTCCACAGTTATGTGGACTTTGGGATTAAGAAGTGGAGTTAAAAAGTAGGGGGGGGGGGTAAATGTTTCATTTCCGGATGAAATGCTCTCTGTGCTCTCCAGTTCTCCAACTGGATCTTGTCATCTGAAAATCAGTGAAAGAATTAAATTATAAAAATATAAATAAGACTTCTTTTTTTCGTATTTTGAATGATATTATCTTAAAGACGAAAGCCCCATGGGCTACAACGCTCAGCAGAGTATCTCTTGTCCTATTTTTGAGTATTTACATACAGAGTCGATTAAATGTTGTGTCTTTACAAGACCAAATGTCAAAATTGAACATTCTCACATATCAAAATGACTGATAGCCTTGCTGATCTGGAGAATTTTTTTTTTCAATAATTAAATATCTTTAAAACCCCAGCATTCAAGCCCAGTGGTTCTTGAGAAGATTTTTATTATTAAAGATTTTTTGTAAATATTTTAATGTAAAACTTAAATTCTCTACTTTGGCCCAGCCCTACCCCTAGGAGTTATGACTGGAACATTTTCAAATCTTTACTACCCAAGGATGCTTCCACACAAGTTTCAAATTTTCTAGCTCAGTGGTTCTTGAGCCAATTTCGGCTTTTGAGAAGAAGATTTTCCATGTGAAAACTTTTCAGACAGACGGACGGACGGACATATGGACGGAGACGGACAATGGATTTATCAGAAAAGCTCTCTTCTTTCAGCTAGCTCAATTGAGCTAAAAACCTGAATTTAGAAATTAATAGATTGTTAGAAAAAAAGGGGATTTGCTAAAAAAAATAGATTGGAGTTTGGAGGTTTTCTTCTATTGTTTTTCCTATCTTTCTTCATTTAGAAGATATAGAGGTTGCAATGAGTGATACAGAAGTAGAAAGTCCAAAGCCGAAACGTAAGTAATCTTATGACAATTTTTTTATGTCAATGTCTTACGGAGGTTAAATTTCGTTGCATTTATTAGATTTTGTTTCTGATGTGGAGTAAGGAATTCAAGTTTTTTTTTTTTTTTTTTTTTTTTTTTAAATAAAACGCTCCATTGAATCCATATTGAAATACATGTAATGCAAATATATTTTAACAGACTTCATCTTTAATTTTATTTAATTTAATTTTATATCTATTAATGCTATAAAATTATTTTAGAGAAAAGGAGGAGCAGATTATTCCCCCTTGATAGGATACTCGCTGTCCTGTGCTGTCCCTCGTTATGTTTGGCGGGGTTTACAGAGGCGGATCTCGCTCCACTCCGGGAAAACTATCAGTCACTGGACAGAACCGGGAAGAAACAGTGGCTGCTAGATTACTTTTGGAGCCATTCACAGTAAATAAATCGTTTGTCTAGAGATTGCTTCAATTACATGTGTATAAAATAACACAGAAATTCTGTAACACAGTCATGGCAATGGCACACTGACTCTATAAATTTAGAATCACTATATTTTCTCCAAATGATATTTAAAAGATGGGGAAAGAGAGAGGGAGAGCATCTAATTTACAACATTACAGGTTCGACAATGAAAATTACACATGGAGGTTTACCTTTGTTCTTTGGAGTAAAGAGGTATGCCAGACAGCCTTCAGGCTTACTCTGGGGATTGCTTCCTCATCATTCTATGAAGTTAGGAAATTATTTCTAGGTAAGTATTATTCATTTTAACTTTTTCAATGAATCATGAATGCATCCCCTCCAATAATTTACTCGAACTGTTTGGTGGGCTTTTGAAATATTTGAGGTTTCAAACGATATCGACTTAAACGCTTTTAAATTTTTGACCTATTAAATTTAACAGACAAGAAGAAGGTTATTTCACAGCCTAGAACAAAGAGGACACAAGCATTTAAGTCAAAGCAGGCGATGGCGTGGCTGCAGTCCTATGCAGAAAAAT